CCTCATTTGGTCAGTTGGTCTTTTTTTGTGGTTGACTGGTTGTATTGACAAGGTCTCAGAATGATAGCCTCACAAGGGAGCAGTCAGGGAGAGAGGGAGGCATAGGAGGACTATAAGGAAAGCAAAAAGGTAATGTTAGATGGGGGGGTGGATGTGTAGAGGACATGTGTATGGAAGGAGGGACAGACATGATAAAAAGAAATGGAGATGCAGAAAAAGAGGGAGAGGGGGTGAAGACAAAGGTAGGGATGAAGATGGGAGTTATGGGTGGAGAAAGAGGATGCAGAGAGGGAATGCACAAAGAAGTGAAACAGCAGCAGAGCAGATTAAAAAAGGTTGAGAGAGATTGACAGGACAGAAGAAAAGGAATAGGAGAGTACATGGTAGTTTATTGACAAGAGCCTCCTGCCACACACACTCTCTATCTGTTCAGTGGCTCTCTTGTTATTGAAAAGATTCCTTGGGAAATAAATCGCATTTCGATTGGCTGGTAATTGCCAAGGATCAATCAATGTGTTCTGCTTGGCTCTCAGGGATTTTCCTCCTTTGTCCACAATGTGCACACACACACACACACACACACACACACACACATGCACGCATATTTGCACATTCATCGGTTGTCAATGAGGACCTTGAACATCAGGGAGAACTGGTACCTGATTGGTGAATCAGTAAACATGAACCGCTGATTGTTTCTATGCAGATTAATATGATTGGGGAGGTATGTGGGGGGTGGCACGATTAACTTAAAGAAAGAATGAAATAGAGAAAGAAAACTAATTGCACTAAAATAATAAGTTACAGAGTTACACAGTGGACTAAAGTCATAACAACATGAAGCAAAAGCTCAGCCAAAATATAACTATTACAGTATTTATCGTACCATAACCACCGTGTTATTTCCCTAGTGAACATCTCACCTTTTAAAATGCTGTGAGATTGTTCTCAGTGTGCAACAAAAACACTAGTGATTCATGAATGAGTAATTTTGATCAATTCCACAATCAGCCAGCGGTTAGAGGTCCGGCTCCCTCATGTTAAAGTATGATTTATAAATGGCTAGAGGTCGTTATGATGCCACGGGTGCTTTATCAGGCTAAATGAGAATGGCCTTTCTACTCATGTTCTCTGTATGACAGGGACAAGCAGGTTGTCAATACAGAAATGACCCGGTACTGCAAAGTGAAAGACACACACACACACACACACACACATACAAACACCTGCACAAAAACTATGTGCCTGTTCGCACGCACACAGTAACTGTTAGAAACCTGCAGGCTCACACATGCACACATATTCAGATGTAGAGAACTAAAAAGTTTTTGTTCAAACTAAATGTAAATATGCACACACTCCTCATACAAATCAAATCTAATTTGATTTGTATAGCGCCAAATCACAACAAAAGTCATCTCAGGACACTTTACAGAGTAAGGTCTAGACCTTACTGTTATCAATATTATTACATAGGGAAAACCCAACAAATCCCCCTTGAGCAAGCACTTGGCGACAGTGGGGAGGAAAAACTCCCTTTAACGGAAGAAACCTCCGACA